AAAAAAAAAAAAAAAAAGGAAAATCAGAGAATCAGAGACCTGCATTTTGTGTGGATGCACAGCCCAGTGGCATGTTCCCAATGGGCTTGTAAACCAAATCCCATGTGAAGCCTCCATCACAAACTCAGGCACTGGTGAGAGTCCAGATTTCCATCTTAAAGTCTAATGCTTTTAACTTAGACTTCATTCCCTGTTTACAAGATCTACCGTTGAGAGCACTTGCAAATTTTTCGACTGGCATAGTCTGGGAACAGATTACTCATCTTATTATCTCAGTGAGGAAGAAAGAATAAAAACTCGACTTTGGGGGCAGAATACATTATCCTAGGTCAAGATGACTTCCTCATCAAGACCTCATTCTGTTTTCACAGCCCTGCAGTGGAGAGATTTACTGCGTTTCTTTTATGCAATCAAGGCAGACTTTGATACGAACGCGGGGAGAGACAGAGTGCACCTGAAGCTGGCCCACAAGGAACAGTCAGCCCCGGGCACTTGAAGGAGAAGAGAGGCTTCCCTACTCAAGTCGCTGTCTCCTGATAGCTGAACATTCTAGAAGCAACCTCTAAGGTTGGTGTCCAAGGCCCATACATTAACTCATTGTTAGAAGATGACAAATATGTCATTTTTTATTGATTAAAATCTAATTTTTTCTCCCTTTTTCCCTAGGAGAGAATGAATTCTAAAAGAATGCTGTTATTGGTTTTATTTGCTTTTTCACTGATGTTGGTTGAGCGTTATTTCAGGTAAATATAAAATATAGATGAATCATGATCTTTAGTGATTGGCAGAGGTGGATTTAATTTAATTTAATTTAATTTAATTTAATTTAATTTAATTTAATTTAATTTTTGAGACAGGGGCTTACTCTGTTGCCTAGGCTGGAGTGCAGTGGTGCCATATTAGCTCACTGCAGTCTTGACGTCCCAGGCTCAAGCGATCCTCCCGCCTCAGCCTCCTGAGTAGGTGGGACTACAGGCACATGTCACCACACACAACTAATTTTTGAAATTTTTTTGTAGAGACCTATGTTGCCCAGGCTGGCAGAGATAATCTAAACTGCTGAGTTTTGTCCAAAGCTATCAATACTACTCTCTAAATAAATCAGAAGTTCGTCTTTGTGGGACAAAGGAAAATATACATATTTTAATTATTTCATTGTTAAACATTCAACAATTATTTATTGAGTGCCTTCTAGGTGCCAGGCTCTATTCTAGGTGCTGAGGATGCAGTGATAACTAAAGTGCCTGTCATCAGGGAGCTTTCGTTCTATTTAGAGAAGGTAGACAGTAAACACACATGAAAGACAATGCCAGGGATATAATATTTTATAAAACAAGCATAATAAAAAATAAAGGTGAGCATGCCATTTTAGAGGAATTATAAACTGTCTCAAGTTTCCATCTTTGTGTTTAATGTAAAAAAGACTAAAGTCAACCTGTGTCTATGCATATAGAAACGTGTACTACAGGACACATCTGTAAACCTGCTGATATGGTTTAGCTGTTTTCCCCACCCAAATCTCAACTTGAATTGCATCTCCCAGAATTCCCACATGTTGTGGTAGGGACCGAGGGGAGGTAATGAATCATGGGGGCCAGTCTTTCCTGTGCTATTCTAGTAATAATGAATAAGTCTCATGAGATCTGATGGGTTTATCAGGGGTTTCCGCTTTTGCTTCTTTCTCGTTTTCTCTTGCCTGCCGCCATGGAAGATGTACCTTTTGCCTCCCGCTATGATTCTGGGCCTCCCCAGCCATGTGGAACTGTAAGTCCCATTAAACCTCTTTTTCTTCCCAGTCTTGGGTATGTCTTTATCAGCAGCAGGAAAACAGACTCACACATCTGCTAATATTCTCTCATCTAGAAAAACTCAAATTCTTGCTTTCTCTGTACCACTCCTCGTGGTCTTCCTCATAAGCAATGCGGTGTTTCCAGAGGCTGTTTGAACAGCAGTAGTATCATGAGAGATCATGGTTTTTGAAAATGAAGGCTTTGCACAACACATATCTGGTAAGGGACTTGTATCCAAAATATGCAAAGAGCTCTTAAAATTTGACAACAAGGAAACAAACACCTGAATTTAAAAATTAAATATTGGCTTTTAAAACATTTAAAAATGAGCAAAAGAACTGAATAGAATCTCACAAGAGAAGATATACCGATGGGAAATAAGCAAAGGCCAAGATTCTCAGTCTCATTCGTCATCAGGGAATTGCAATGAAAACAGGAGATACCGCTACACACCCATTAGAACGGCTAACACCCAAAAATCTACAATCTGAAAACCAGCTTCTGGTGAGGAAGTAGAGCGACAGGAACTCTCATTCATTGCTGGTGGGAATGCAAAATGGTACTGTGGAAGACAGTGTGGCAGTTGCTTAGAAAGCTAGATACAGCTTTATCATGCCATGGAGCAGCTGTGCTCCTAGCCATTTAGTCAATTGATTAAAAAACTTACGTCCACACAAAACCCTGCACAAGATGTTTATAGAAACTCTATTCATAAATGCCTCAAACCACTAACAAACTAGATGCCCTTCGGCAGGTGAATGATAAACAAGCTGTAGTTCATGAAACGCTCCAAGCCAGAAACCAACACACAACAGGAGAAGGATAAACATGCTGTGGCTCATCCGTGCAATGGAATATCACCCAACAGTAAAAAGAAATGAGCTGGCCAGGCACAGTGGCTCATGCCTATAATGCCAGCACTTTGGGAAGCCGAGGCAGGCAGATCACCTGAGGTCAGGAGTTTGAGACCAGCCTGACCAACATGGAGAAACACTGTCTCTACTATCAGTACAAAATTAGCCAGGCATGGTGGTGCAGGCCTGTAATCCCAGCTACCCGGGAGGCTGAGGCAGGAGAATCGCTTGAACCCGGGAGGCGGAGGTTGCAGTGAGCTGAGATCACGCTACTGCACTCTAGCCTGGGCAACAAGAGTGAAACTCCATCTCAAAGAAAAAAAAAATAAAGAAATGAGCTATCAAAACTGGTAGAAGACCTGGAGGAACCCTAAACGCATATTGCTAAGTACAAAAAGACCACCTGAAAAGGCTGCATGCTGTGTGATTCTCACGTGACATTCTGAAAAAGGTGAAACTATATTGGCAGGAAAAAGATCAGTGGTTGCCATGGGGTGGAGATGAGGGAGGGGATGAATAGGTGAAGCACAAAGGAATTTTGGGGGGCAGTGAAACTGTTCTGTATGACAGTGTAACCATGCACACATGTAACTTTGCATTAAAAAAAAACAAACCCACAGGATGTTACAGCACGAACAGTGAAATTAACATATGTAAATTTAAAAAACTAGGAAGTTCGAGGTATCCTAGGAAGCAATGCAGACTGTGAGACAATAATCTGTATCCCACATGTACAGAACAAGCCCACTGGAAGGGGTGAGAGAAAAAGCTGCTGACCTAAAATAACTTGGGAATGAGTGGAGTTTATTTTGTTTTTTTTGTTTTGTTTTGTTTTTTGTTTTTTGAGATGGAGTCTCGTTCTGTCGCCCAGGCTGGAGTGCAGTGGCCGGATCTCGGCTCACTGCAAACTCCGCCTCCCGGGTTCACACCATTCTCCTGCCTCAGCCTCCCGAGTAGCTGGGACTGCAGGCGCCGCCACCTCGCCCAGCTAGTTTTTTGTATTTTTTAGTAGAGACGGAGTTTCACCGTGTTAGCCAGGATGGTCTCGATCTCCTGACCTCATGATCCGCCTGTCTCAGCCTCCCAAAGTGCTGGGGTTACAGGCTTGAGCCACCGCGCCTGGCCTGTTTTGTTTTGTTTTGAGACAGAGTCTCTGTCACCCAGGCTGGAGTGCAGTGGCACGATCTCGACTCACCACAACCTCTGCCTCCTGAGTTCAAGCTATTCTCCTGCCTCAGCCTCCCGAGTAGCTGGGACTACAGCCACGTGGCACCACGCCTGGCTAGTTATTTTTAGTAGATATGGGGTTTCACCATGTTGGCCAGGCTGCTCTCGAACGCCTGACCTCAGGTGATCTGCCTGCCTCAGCCTCCCAAACTGCTGGGATTACAGGTGTGAGCCACAGTGCCCAGCTGGGAATGAGTGGGGTTTAAAAGTAGAAGCAATAGAAACTGCACATGAGCACTGTGTTTGGGTCGATAAAGGTTTTTTCCCACAGGAGAATGAGTTAACAATTCTGCTGCTGCTCTACATGTATGTTTGAATCAGTTAAATAAATGAATGGGGCATGGGGGAGCAGGTTTCTTGCTGTTGGAGGGGACTTCATAGATAAGGAAGAAAGGGGCCACAATGATCCGGGTGGGAATGGATTGAAGCTGGAGACCTCAGCATGAACTCACGTTTACCTTACTGTGAACAGAGATGTTTACGTGTCAAGATGTTCGAAGATATGTGGATATACACACAGGTTAGTGTTTATTTCCTTGCTGTATTAGCTGAGAGGGCCTAGGAGGAAGGACACCCCGCTAGCAATGAGCACACCTGGTACCCAGATCTTGGTTTCTAGCACCATTCTCCAGGAAAGCAACCAAGGCTTCTTGGAGAAGTGGGTGGTTCTAGATTTGGGCAGGAGATTTATAAGATGAGCCCAGAGCATCTCATAATGCCAGGAAGGATGGAAGGGATTTTTAAAACATTCTATATTTAAAGGAGTATGCCACTTAAATGGGACATGGGAGCTAACTGGGAGAGCTCCCAATGGCCAGAGCTGGAGCCACTTGAGCGAGAAAAGAAAGTAACATTGAATTATAACCCAGAGTATGAAACGAATTTCCACAAGTTCATACTGATGTAAATGAATGGTTGGAGGAAAAACAAGAAGGAAGAAAGGAAGGAAGACAGGTTGGCTGGATGTTGGAAGGATAGAAGGAAGGAAGAAGGGAGAAGAGACAAATCTCCCGTATGCAGAAGAATTCTAAATCACGTCTGTAGATTCTTCACCACCAAGGACGCAGAACCTGACGCCCCAGTCCTGAAATGTGAGTTGCGTGCAGTGCTTCCTTATAAAGAAAGCGGGGAGAAAGAGCAGTCTTTGCGTGGAGAGACCTGAAAACACAACCCTAGCCAGGCGGACAAGGTCAGCATCAACAGGAAGTCATGATGGGGTCTGAGAGGCGGCTGCAGTCAAGAGGAACCTGTGCAGACAGGAGGCTGAGTGGAGTGTGGCGTCCTGGGTGGGATCCAGACAGGAGGCTGAGTGGAGTGTGGTGTGCTGGGTGGGACCCTGAGAAAGAGAAGGAACATTAGGGGAAAACAAGAAAATCCAACCAAAATATGGACTCCCATTAATAATAGAGCATCAGTGTTGCTTCATGAATTGGAACAAAAGTACCCTACTAAAGCTAGATGTTAATAATAGGGGAAACTGGGTGAGTGCAGGGGATTCCACCTACTAGCTTTAGAATGTTTTTGTAAGGCTGAATCTGCTCTAAAAATAAAGTTGATTGAAACAAAAAAAGGGGAAATAAAGTAAAAGTAAATCATGCAAAAAAAAAAAAAAAAAGGAAAGGAAAAACAAGGCCAGGCGCGGTGGCTCACGCCTGTAATTCCAGCACTTTGGGAGGCCGAGATGGGCGGATCACTTGAGGTCAGGAGTTCGAGACCACCTGGCTGACATGGCAAAACCCTGTCTCTACTAAAACTACAAAAATTAGCAGGGCGTGGTGGTGGGTGCCTGT